AAGTATATATAGTGAATATGAAAATGGCTATTTTTAATATTTACAGGTAGCACTTTGCTAATGATTAAAACCGCAACAAATTTTATAAATATATAATAATGCTGCAGAATGATCACGAATATAAATTAAATATTAATATGTAGCATTTTGCACGGAAATATCGTTTCATTTTATTAGCAATTATAAATCACACATGTCAAATATATAACACATACTGAATGTGTACCTATAGCAAACGTGACTATGTTATAAAAGTTATGTTGCAAGTACTAAAAACTAAAATATTATAGTCTTGTTTTTTTCAGAATGCATTTTATGTTTAATAAATAGATAATAATACTTGCGCGCACGCGCTTATTTTAAACAAAACAAAACTATAATATTTTAGTACTTATTTTCTTATAGCAAGTACTAAAATATTATGGTTTTATTTTAATATTTTTAATAACTTGCTTTATTACTTAGAAACAACTTTATATGTACGTATACTATTTATCAATATTTTTTTCCTCAAAATTAATAAATTCTTTTATGCTACATAGTAATTCTTTATTATTTACTTTTATTATCATTATTGTTTCATATACAAAGATTTGTACACAAATTTGTATTTTGCAATTTAATGACTAATTTGTGAAAGCCGAATCTGGTGGATGAGTAGATTTATAAGCATTTAAAAATATATTGCAAAGGGATTATTATTATTTATTATTATTTAAAGATTATTTAAAGATTAGTACATTCCCCATTGAAATTTAATCCTTGATTGGGGGAAGATTCTCTAATCGGAATTTGCATAATACTTGATTCAGCAATCGTCATTGCAACAAAGTTTGATATTGATATAGAATAGTAACTGTCTAGAATCCTATAAATGTATTGTGTCTATAATCTTCATGTTTTCAACGTGTAACGTCTTGTACATGGATTTTTTATTTTATATCCACTGAAAAAAAGGATTAACTACCGTAGCAAATTTAATTGTAAAATGAGAATAACTAATATTTTTTGTAGTGAGAACTATAATTTAGCAATAATAGCAAAGCTTTAACAAAAGGTTTTAAACCTAATAGCTTTCTTCTCTTTAATCGTCTGAAGGATAGAAATACAAGAAGGTCTAAATAAATTTATTTTTAAAATTTATGAACAACATAATTATATATTTAAAATTAAAATGCATTAATATTTAGATTAATGATAGTTTATTTCCAGCTGCGCACATCTATATAGTATTCCCAACAGCTCATATATGTTCTTTATGCGATATATCATTGTTTAGACGCGTATAAATATAAATACGACATAACGGTATGTTATTTCGATCCGATGTTCCTATTTCCTTATGTAACGGTGCAGATAGTGTGAATCAAATTTTAGTTGGTAAATTCGGCGACAACAATGCCGCTGCCGCGAAGTTACCGCGCCAAACCCGAGAACAACTTTCACCCTCGTCTCGCGCTTCTTGTCTAACGAGTGTTTGGCGCAAACTTTGACCGGGCCGTTATACATCACGAAATCCCTCGGTAAAACGCGTATACGTATAGGGTCCGCCGTCGAGCGTGCGTACGTAATTCGCGGACAATCGACCGCGCACGCGGCCGGACAATCGTAAATTGCTGTGCGCGAGGCCGCTTATCCGTTACTTAGATAATGAGCAAAACTTCAGCTATCTACGAGAAAGGACAAGGGACATCGGGGAAAGGCTCGACCGCGGGGTCGTGCACTTATGCAAATTGAAGATGAAAATGGAGGAAAAGAAAGCACTCCGTGACGTACAGGGAATCGTCGTGTGACAGCAAAAAAAAAAAAGAAATTGAAATATGCAAAACCGATGCGCTGAATAAATTCCTGCTGCTGATCGAATTGTCAAGCGTACAATAATGGAACGAATTCGAGGACGCGCGCCGTCGTATTTTTATTTTATGTAATGTAAACGGACGATAAAGTCGTTTGAATTGATTAAATTCGTACGTATATCGCTAGTTGCTTTGAAGAAAATGTTTCTGAGCGTATAAAGCGCATTTCTATACAAAAACTGTGGACACATAAGTTTTTATACTTATAATGCATCCACAGTTCGTAGCGTCCGTGTGCGACGGCAACGAGTTTGTATTCAGAGGTCAAACATCTACGAGTAAGTGGTATCCATAATTATGCTGTTAGAAATAATTGTATTACGCCAGGGAAATGTGTGAAAGCGCTTCGCGCTGCTTTTAATGGCTAGTTCGCTTTCCCGTGCTTCCGCGTTTGGGATCTGTTACATGCGTAACACCTAACACCCCTTTCCGCCATTCGCGCGATAGCATTCCGTCGGATACGACTCTCTCGCGCGTACGGAGTTATTATGACACTCATCTTTAATCTGCATTCAAAATGACCGCGCGAATTTGCCTAACGACACCGGGAAACGCGGCATTCGCATCCTGGATTATTTCTCCGACAAGGGGGAAATACTCAAATGCCGCCGCGTGGCGCGGTCTCGGCCGCAGCTCGCGACGCGCAAAGGAATGCAATTTTCCCGAGTTGCTGCAATTTTCCATGGGTTTCCCCGTCTCAGCCATGCGCCGCACTCGTTTCTTCGCACGATCTCACGCGTGCTTCTTGTCGAGCATTTCTCAAATTGCAACCTTACATGTATTTTCGCGCCTCTTATTATTACAGACTGGAATTGTTTTTGCCTCAAAACGCGATTCCACGGTTCCTCGCTCGCCTCCGCTTTCCGGTCCGGATTAGCATTCTAATCCTATATACTGATAAAAGGATGCGCCGCGTCAGTTTACCTTATGCTATCGCAAAGGATTACCAGCGATAAGGCGCTGTTTATTCGTTTCGGAGCGCGCGAAAGCTGCGGACAGAAATTGTACGATATATATTTTGCAGCACGTTAATTAAACGAGGGCAGTAACGGACGGTTAAAAAAGTCTCGGCATACTGAAATCTGCGGTAGATTTCATTACGGTCTGCAACACGGCGTGGTACTTCATTAAAACTCGCACAAAATAGCGTCAATTGCCGCGGCGATCTTGTTCTCGACGACCAGACTGTGCTTTTCTATTTGTGACAATGATTATTTGAGCATTGAGATGATTTGTGTAAAAATGTTGGGTAAAAATATTTTTATGTCAACAGGTCTAAACGAAGTGAATGAAATTACTCTGGGTTCAAAATTGAATTTACAGTATTTTCCTGACCTGAAATCGTACTCGTTAAATGAACGTTATTAAGAGGAATATATAAAATGTACATCAATCAACATTTAAATTAGATATCGGGGAAGTAACCATCTAAAATCGATATAGATTTGAACAGTCCATAAGTAGAACAATGAAAACCGAACGAAATCAACGCTGTCGTTTAACGAATCAAAATTTTCTTCTTTCGATCTCTGATTTCAGTGTTAACTTCGTTTATTGCGATACAGGATTCTAATATTTTATTTATAAGGCTCAAATACATCACCTTCAGAAGTGAGGCCGGTTAATGAGAGCCCTCCGCGGACAACGTAACGGCATGTTTCCTTATGGAGCATTTGATTTATCAGCCGGTGTACCTCCGTCGTCGGGAAGGGACAAAATGGATTTTCTCAACCCTCGTCGATCACTCCAAGGAACGGAAAAGAGTGGACCATTTACCGGGCCACTCCTTCATCAGGAATATATAGACTGAAGCCGCCGGAACGCCGTCGCATTCGAGTCACGTGCTAGGGAAGGACTCATTTTAACTACGGTAATTGAAAGGAAGCTCCTGTCTCTGTGGCCTTCGCCATTTCCCTCGTTTCTTGTGGCCGCGTTCGCGCGTGGACCTCTTATAGCCATCACGATGTTATCGAGAATTTGTTACGTTTGCTATATCGATAACCAGCGTGATCCATTCTTAACGATTCTTACCATTTTTATGTGCACTGTGTGAATATGATTATACTTTTGTGGATTAATGTCGAAAGTAAAATATAAATTAACGATATGATATACAATTGCTTTATCATATACTGTAATTTAACATCAAAGGTAACACGAAATTACGTCTAATCATTTACCAGTTATTTGGTTTTATTAAATTTATTACTTTTATTTAATATTTATTTAGTTATTACGAGAGTTTTGAAAAAGCGTAAAATATTAAATCCAACCCAATCAAGAACATAATTAAAAGAAGATTGTTATACAGATTTCAATTTAACATTCATTTAACAAGTAGTTATTTTATCTTAACGTCATGCCACTATATAGATAAGACGCAGACATATCGGCTTATTCTGGTCACGTGAATCAAGGAGAACTTCTTTCTAGGTAAAGGCAGTAATTGAAAGGAAGACCATCGGCTTTCCACGTCTCTCCCCTGCCCACATGAAGAAACGAGCTTGGCCCGATCACTTCCTTACTTATTCAGAAGAAGCGGTTTCATTGATTTTGATTGCCCCGCAATCAATCACAATGCCCAACAACTATTCCCGCGGCTGTGTATTGTTGATTGAAAAAAATAAAACGCTCGAACGTGGCAAACATTAAAACCGTTTTTCAATTTTAGCGGTTTGTAAACCGAGCGCTTACTGCGAGCAAGAAGCGAAAGATAATATCATCGCTTTTTGATAAAATATGATTAAAAAGCAGTTTGCACATAAATATTTTATTGATCATTTATGTAACTATAGCTGCAATGCAATACTGTCAACAGCTCTTATATACCAAAGATGAAATTTTTGCGCAGCATTCTTGCAAAATTTCGGATTCTATTCACATAGCAGAAAAATTTTTCTCGCATTTCTCTCTCAGTTTTCTCGATAAAATTCTATTGTGTAAATATTTTTCGCAATAAAAAAATTTGATAACAGCACGCTACTTCAACCAATCCTCTTTATTGTTTCTCATTTTGAATTGTTGCGCATAGGTGTGCGCTTTCATACGCGCACAGTAACAGATCCGAAAAATTATTTTAACACACGGTTAATTGTACCGCAAGAGAGAATGTAGAAAAAGAGTATATTATATTTTGAAGAGTAAAGTAGAGCTCTCAGCTCCTGCGCGTTTTCCACATTTTCGTTTCATTACACGAATTTCCATTAGTGTTTTATCAAAACGGAAACGTTACTTTTCTCAGTTCACTCTTGTTATTAAAATACGTTGAAGATCTGAAGAAGAGAAAGGTTTAGAAGTAATAAAAAAGATTAAAAAAAAGAAAGAGAAAGGGCAATAACGGTAAAGTAGGATATTATAAGTACGAGGTAAGAAGACAGATATAAAAATAGGTATAATTAATCAGAAGTTGCAAAGAATAAAAGTTTAAAGCATGGCAACAGAATATGATATAGGTAGAGTGAAGTGAATATTACAGTGAATATGAAAATGAGATGAAAATATCTAGTTTGTAATTTATGCGTTACAGTTTATAAGTTATAATTTATAATTTAATTATATCAACACAGAGAGTTACAGAATTATATAAAAATTATTAAATAATAAGTATTGAGTATTAAAAGTTAAAAACATATATGTATATTGTATATTGTATTGTAAACTGGAAGCCATCCTAAATCTTGAGGCGAGGATTTAAGAGAAACAAATAAAAATCAAATAAACGTGTTGAAGATCATCTTTTTGTCACGCACGGATAAATCGACTGCGACTTCGGCGATATATAAGATATGAGCTTCGCGTATCTTCGTCCTTTATCGATCAACTCGAGCGCGAAATGCATCGAAGTTGTAGTAACGAGGAAAACGCGGCTACGCCTGTCGTTCGCGTAAGCCGCGGCTGGATCTCTTCGCCCGGGCTTGACAGAGGTTGCAGATGGTATCGTAAGTTTCCGTGAACTTTAATTATCGCGAAATAAAAGAATAAAACTTGGGCTAACTCGTTAGAAGTTGGCGACTGCAGATTCCCTCGGGGATGAAAATTATGCTCGCGCATCTCCCGCATCACACACATTCGCAGCAAATTTAATATCCGCGTAATAATGTCGAACTTCATGACCACGCGAATCAGCTTTTCCGCTACTTCGACGGAGAGATCGCGCTCTTCGCGGGATTATACGAGTCGCGAAAGAGGATTCCGTTGCGGTTAACTTCAAATATGATTTCGCAAACTTCAATCCCTCATCTTAGCGAAATTTTTCTTCTAATCAGAGGAAAAACTCCGTGTTTCTCTCTCGTGGATATGTAATAAAAAAATTATTGATAAAAGAAATTGCTAAATAAAACGAACAAACAAACAAACAAACAATGTAGATTTCATGTAATATGTAATATTTTCTAATTAAAAATAGATAAATATGAGTAAACAAAAGACAGTCATGTACATACCTTTAACACCAAGTTGTCTTAATCCTTAATTAATTATAAATCAATTGATGTTGAGACAAACATTGTTTTTCTTATTTTGGTGTCAGATATTTATTGACGATCACAGATTGCGATATATCGCAGTTGCGCAGTCTAAAAAAGAGGATCGAGACCGTTTTCGGCCGGTAGAAGACATAAAAACTTTTCTAATATAAGTTCGTCCATCAGCGTAGATGGATTTCTTTCTTCATATGATACCAGACACGTAAGGCCATTGTTATCGCACGTGTCAGCATATGTTATATATCTCCGAAAGTAGCAGGAAAACGGCGTACGACATGCCTATGTATGTTTCCAATAACACTTGGCACCGCGTAGATTAGATAAAACTTTACAACGACAATAGTATTTCGAAAAATAACATCAATATCGACAATACCATGTAATTTATAGTATTGTAAAATCTATTGACGATTATTTTAAATTAATCTTGATGACTGGAAGGAAAGCTTGAAGTGTGAAGAGGATTTCAATCAAAACGATTAATCAACAATTTTGTGTGCTAATTTGTTGTCATAGAAAAAATAATTAATTTAAAAAATTAAATGTTTCTAATATTGTATATTCGAGATATTTCTACGTTTCCGGCTCTCTCAGAGATTTACTTTACGAGGTACACATGTGCCACACGCAACACTGTATTTTAAAGAAGATCTATGCGACAGCGCATTTTAGGTCACTCAATTTAATTCCTGTTTCCCACTTTGACGCTCGACCACCTGGAGCTAATTAAGTTCGACGTAACAATCGATTGAAAAGTTGGACGGCCACCCGATAAATTTAATCAAAAGGATGAGCGCGCGATGGTCGCGACTCCTAACTAGATGAAGGACCCGGCAAAGTTTTCCGCGGGGTTTTCCCACCGGCGCAAAATGGCGTGTGGTTATGAGCGATGGAACGGCGGTGAGTGCACTTCTTCACTCGCTGCAGGGACGAAAAGTTTCGTAGATATCGAATAAGTACTACGTGGAAGGAGAAAATGGAGAGAAAAAAAGCTGCTCCTCCCTCTTCAAACAGCTCTGTCGCGGGGCGCTAAACCGACTGCCATGCCGGGGCGAAAGCGCGAGTGACGAATTTCCACATTTAATTCCGTGTCTCTCTCTCGTATTTACTTTTTTTCTAATGGCGCGGCTGTGTATGGCTTAAACTTTTTTTTTACACAAAATCGTTATAAAGCGCGATTCCCACCGGTGTCCGAATTTTTTCATCGTTTTATGACCCGCATATATCATCCGGAAAATGGGAGTTTTGCAAGAATTTTAAGTAACATTACCACGCCAGTCGGCGGTTTCATATGAAAAATATTTTAAGAGAGTAATTTCCATCATAAAAGCTTCGAAAAATGACGAATCTCGTTCCTACATTTTAAAGAACGGCCTCCGGATCGATGAATTGCGAGGATTATATTTTATATTTATTGCGCGAGAGTAATTAGGTTGACAATTATCAAATGTTAATTAATACGGCTTAAAACGTCCGTTTTATTAATTTACTCGGTTTATCATTTCTTCCGGATTATATACGATACAAACTGAAATACTCAGACAAAGTAGCTGTAATGAATGTAATATAAAATGTTATCGCGGATAAGCTCCAGCATTAATTTCTATGTTAATGAGTACAATGATCGCAGATACGTAAAGCAGATATCGTCCTAGGAATACACGCGGTATCGTCATATTAATATCCAGGTGGCCTCCAGCAATTTCCTGTATATATTTGGCTACGTTAATAGCCTTAAGGGTTTTGTTTACCGTAATATTATTACTAGTATATTCGTTTAATATTCACTTACACTTTGCGACGCAAAATTCTCATATTACGATATTATTTCAGGTTTAGAGATAGCACCGCTATTATGTTCTATTTGATTACGCTCGTGGATATGCCAGAATATATATCCTTCACGACCATAGTAATACTGTGGTCACGTATAACCATTTGAGAAACGCGAATCTATTAATCTCATATCGATTGATATATATACCCCCGTACATACAATATTGAGTTACGTGACGTTGCCATATAGAATCAATGTTATCCCATTAGACAATGTCGCTAATCGATAAAGCGTAAAACGCCACCATGGAACTTTATACCGAAATTATGCGAGCCGACGTCGTAAATTACATCAGTCTATATTTACACGATCGCGCCCTGCGTTATCAGAGCAGCGTCGGATATTCTATCCTCTTAGATGTCTTAGAAGATGACACTTTCATCGGATGACATTTATCAGTTTGCTAAACCGAAATAGGTTTGATGAGGTTTTTTTATACCTATGTTCTCTCCTCTTTTCCCTCTCTCTCTCTCTCTCATTTTCTGTGTAATTTCAAAACGTTACTGCATATAAAATTGACAATAATCGTGCTTTCCATCGTTTTAAATATAGAGACTTATTATCGGCTCATTCCATCGCTTTCCTATAACTTTCAGGATAGGATCAATACAATTACAGATCATAAAAGTCTTTTTTCAATCCAATTATCCATTTATCCATTTTATCCGAAAATAAAATTCAACATTAAGACAGATGCTGGTTAGGCTTATATTATCCAAAGGATAAATATAAAAGAATACGTTTTAGTTTATCTCGACAGTACAGACGAGTATTAACGCTGATATACATATATATGTTTATATACACTTTAGCGTTTCAATATTTCATGAGACTGCAATGTTATATTCTTAACTATACGATCGAGGTAAAGTACATCACGATGAATTCTCTTCTGATTGTTTGTGGCTGGAAAAGACATCAGTAAGGACGACGCGCAGGACAATATATTTTGCCATAAACATCCAAGCATTTCATGTATTTTCTTATGAAAGACCCGTCATTTATCGTACAAGTAATAAGATTCATTTTGTTAAGCTCAAAGCTTAAACATTAAGTATCTGGCGATACATTTAGTCGCTTACAAAAGAATTCCAACAATTATTTTTCGCATTCGCTTTAATATACTACAATAATTTAGTGATAATGATTCTGTTCCGAAGAAAATTGATTTAAAGATTGGTACTTTACTAAAAATAAGTAAGATTTACTTTTCATGAAAAATACCAGTCTTCAAATCGTTGAAATTTACTTCAGTAAAAATTTCCCCGGCATTCGTATTTAATTGATTTTTCACGGATATTTCTCAAGAAGAAAATCGCGAACAATATATGTGTCAAAATACGCGAGCGCACGGTGCATGTTCGCGTTAATTTGCGACCCAGCGATTCCCGTCCGCGTGTCTTGCTAGTAATTGACAATTTCGCACTCCGGCATGGGGACCAGTAATTAAGCTGCCATGCGTGCAGCCGGATGTCGATTTTTTTTTATTCACAGTGACGGGTCTCCGTCGACCAAACCTAGCCAGGACGAGCCCGTCCGTTCGATCTCGCGGACTTCTTTTTCTCCCATCCGGGGAAACGCGACAATTAGTTTTTGAACGGCTCTCCCGCCTGGCCCGGAGTTTAAAGAGACAAAGGCTGAAAGTAGAGAAGCACATTTGTTGGAAAAATATCAGCGTCGTACGAAAGAAAATACGTTTCCATAGGTGAGTGATCCGTTAATAAACTGTACAAAACTATTTTCATTTATGCTGATTACATCATATAAAATGATTACATTGCCACATGAATATATAACCGATTTTTGGAGAAAGAATACTGAAGTAAATATAAAAAAAATAAGTTAATTTCATAATTTCATAATTTTGTACAAAATGTTTTTTATAAAAAAATAAAATTAAAATAATGTTTAAGCTTTAAATAATTGAAATCAGAAAATTACACCAAGTATGGAAAACTGAAATACGATACGAGTTTTAGAAAATTATATTGAGTTCATACCATATAAATTAATATACAAATATAGCTACAAAATTTCTATCTATATCTATAAATATTTTCGCCGATCATCTATTCGTAATAGGGCAGAATCGCGAAAAACAGTAGCACAAAAAGCTGCGCATAGCCGATTTCGTAGAATGCGACATTGAATCAAATCCTCTTTCATAGAAAGAATCCCCAAAAAAATTATAAATTAGAAAAAAATTAGAAAAAAAAAGATTTTAGAACTCAAATAAGTTTATCGAGCCACCGTGAATTAAAAAGACAAATCTGCGTTTCGAGAACAGACTGCATGAGCCATACCGCAGTTTGATCTTTTGTCAGTCCTTTTCGCCCTGATCTACATCGTACAGGATACAAACAGGATTATCGGGGCGACGTGTTTCTTCCGGCCGGAGAACACGTTGAAGCATGGTAAACCGATACCAGCTCGGGGTCGACTCCGGAAGGATGATTGTATGGGCAGCCGAATTATCTCGCGCAGCTGGCTAATACTCGAGCGGCGGAGTGATTACACGCGTATCTATCTGCACACCCGTTGATTCTACGATATAAACCGACTATATAGCTGGCAGCGCGATGACGCACGCGAAGCGGAGCGGGCGGGCGCAAATTGACAGAAATACTCGTCCATGTCTGCACGCCGACACGGTTACGCGTCCGCAAAGTGCCTACGTCGAACCGGCGGAATTAAATATGCATGCACATGGCTTTGATGCACCTGCGTAAATATCGACGAGAGCCCGCGTCGATCCCCCTGCGACGGGGATTTTTTTTTTCTATATCGCGCGTAATATTTTTGACGTTTTTTTTTTTTAGGGATTCTCTCTATGAGAGAGGATTCGATTCAATGTCGTTGCATTCTACGGAATCGGCTATGCAGCTTTTTGCGCTACCGTTTTTCGCGATTCTGCCCTATTACGAATAGATGATCGGCGAAAATATTTATACCGCGCCACGGCGACCGCGATTGCATTTTTCATCGATACCTACAATTGAGTTTCTTCCATCTGTCAATTGATTTCTGCATTATTTTCAGAAGCAAACCTTAAGAATTGCAAGGACGATTACTTAGCTATATACCAACGCAACTGCAAACAAAATATCTCGTTCTATTATGAAAGAGAACAGAAATGCACGAGATAAAAACGGAAACTTGAGAAAAAGGTGATTTTGAATCTTTCCGGAGAGAAAAAAAATACACAAATCAACAATTTATATGATTTCCATTTATTCACTGGAATGCACCATTCCAGCAATTCAATATTTCAACATTCAACCTTCTTTATTATTAAATTATTATTACGTATTTACTTGCACCTATTGCTCCACCCTTCCATTGCATCCAATGTAATATTATCGCTTCAAATTCCACAGATAAAACTTGCAACAATCAATAAGACGCAAGTGGAAGCAAAAACCTCGTTTATCTTTCGCAGTAACAGATTATTCGTCCGTCAAAAAGAGACAATCCCGAAAAAGGAAAAGCCGAATCACTGCAAAATGTTTCTACGAGAATAACGAAATGATTACTGTGGATGCACTTATGCACGTGACCAACGTGCGTTCGCGAGGTGGGCATGAAGAGGGTGTGGAAATAGGTAAATATATGCATATCGACGCACGTGAGCTTTGCATTGTCTCGGAGGGCGGCTTACGCAACTACAACATGCCAGAGCGATTGACCGGTTGTATTCTGTCGGGCATGCGTCCGGAAGTGCACGGTCCAATTACACTGTTCGTGCCCAGCGCGAAATTCATGCACGACAACGGTCTGTGACACCGCGCTCCCCGTAAAGCGACATAATGGGAAATTAGGATATTAAAATTCCGGACAAAGCGACGCGCCGATCGACCGAAACGGTTCGTATTTCCATTCGCGACACGCCGCACAAATGTAACGTAATTTTCTCTGCGTTCAGTAACGTGTTAATAAGAAACAAAGAATCGGAGAAGATAGAGTTTTAAGTTCTCTAATTTTTAGTATTTCAACCTTTTTATATAATTCTTGCATTTATTACCAAAAATTTTTTTTGGTTGTAATATCCTAGCTGAATGAAATAATAAGATAGTTATTTCAGCATTTATTGAGTATACATAGCCAACATGCAAATGTATTATACTTGAAGCTCGAAAATATTAAGGTGCCAATTCATGAGACGCTGAAAATGAGCGTTCAACAAGGTGAACGTGATGGTTTCGCTTTAACGCTAGCGTCAAAGAAATGAAGTTGAATTTGTTTAATATTCAGCGTCGTCGCTGAATCGTCGTTAATCGTCCCAGTACAATCAAACATAGACTTCGAAATACGTAAAATATTAATTATTTTCAAGTAATATTTTCAAGTAATAATATTTTATGGATATATATATGTATATAAATAAAAGATATTATTTCAGAAGATTTTTGTGCTTGCTGAAAATGAGCGTCGAGCATCAACGTGAAAAAGGGCACCTTTAAACCTATATTCAAATATTGTATGAGGGAAAAATTGAACACTTGTCTGGAATACGAAATTCAATCTCTTGGCTCTCTATTTCATACGTGACTAATAAACGTCCCTGTCATTCAGGATTCATCAATTGCATTGATGCTAATTAAAGCGTCGATTTATCGACATTTTAATAATACTTCGCTGGCGGGAGTAATGTAGCGGGGTGTCGCGTCGCAGAGAGACAGAGAGCCGCGGCTAATAACGACGTAGATGAATCAGAAAGTCGTGTACACGCGGTGCCAAGGATCTTACGCTTCGTTCGCGTGAGCAGAATCTTTGACAGCAAGCTGACACGTAATTTCCTCACCTTCTTCCTTCACTCCGCTCAACTTCTGATCTCTAAACCCGAGTAGCCAAGTAAGTTTCGAAGAAGGGGTCCGATCCAATCGCTAGCGTTGGATGTTCTAGCGAACATCCGACTCAAGGCGATTCCTTTCACAACGAGGGAAATCAGTAAAGTGTATAAGGAATGGACGAAGTAAATATAATGTGGCCTCGGCAGAGTAATCATCTAAACCCTGTATTAATAAATTTTTAATAAATGATAAATAATAATTTTTTAATAAATTTCTACATTCTTTTTGATGATGTAATAAAACAAATAAATAGGCGTTATTTATGTACAGTCGTTCACAGAAAGGTTGCAACACTTAAGGCCTTGAAGATATTTACTTGTATTAATAAAAAGCAAGACAATTTCCTCTCTATTAGTGCAGAGCGATTCTTTAAAAAAAAATCCATAGTTTACTAGAAGACAATCAAAAATATTTGTTCACAACACTTCCACGGGAAGTTCGACTTTCCATGCCTGTAGAGAGGGGCGAAAGTGCGGCCAATTTCACGCCAGGACTTACTTTCCTCCCTAAGAAGAAAATTGATACTTTTCGCCGTAGGGCGGACATGATAGCGTGACATGATAGAAATTTATTACAAAGCGTAAATGTATAACTACAATGGCTTTTTAATTAATTTATCAAATAAAATGCACGATTCTATTTTAGAACAATTAGAGGCGTTATTATTCATTCAAAACGTTTGTGAAGAGATAGATCACGCAATGTGACGATTGATTTTTATTTGCTTCTTTTAACTATGTTTTCTGCATTATGTACGACTTTGCATATAATATATTTTTATTTTTAATAATAATAAAATTTTTATCATGCATCTATATAAAATAATTGTTTATATATGCATTAAATAAATTACATAATTTTTTATATTATAGATTTATCAATTGGTTGTAAAAAAGACAAGTTTTTTATCACTTTCTTCCTCATTTCCTTGAGAATTAAAGAAATTATTGAGTAATTCAGGATTAATAAAACAATATAAAAATTTAGACGATTTACAAAATGATAATATTTAAAGATTTATTTAAATTTTTTTTATATGAAAAAAATAGTTATTTTCATTAAAATAAATGTTGAAAAAAATATATATATTTTATAACAACACGTTTCTTATAAAGGATTATTATATATGTATATGTATGTATATATGTATCTATATTATATATATATGTACATAATAAAAATTACGTTACAAATGTTTTAATATTATATTACAGTTTTATATTTATGTGCAATCGTGATGTTCTTTATCATACATATTTATCCTTCACTAAAATTATATATTTATGACTTTAGCAATATAAAAGAAAATTTTCACGCAAAATGTCACAAGTTAAAAATTATTTTATAACCACGATCATTTTCTGCAACATATTTCAAATTTGATTCTTGGTTTAATTTCCAGAAAGTAACTTTTCAAAAACATGGAAAAAAGTCGTACAAACATATTTTCTTTATATTTAATGATCACTTTTTTACTAATATCAACTTTCATCACGATCACTGAATCAAGCGTCATAGATGTTCCGATTCAATGTCCTGCTGATCATGTACAAGTTGGTGAAAACTGCCGCAAGAAATTCTGAATCTAAAAACAGGTATAATTTGTTTAACATATATTTTGAGAACTACTTTGTTATACATTTTTTAACTATAATTTTTTTCTTATTTTTATCTTTTAATGATACAACTGATCGTTATTTTAATTGGTTTGACTGTGCCTCATATAATTAACGTATTAATTTTGATAATTTTGAGAAATGTAATATTATACATTTAGTAATAAACTTAAATATGTAATTCTCGAATTTGTCAAATTATCTAGTACTAGAACTAGTACGTATGTTTGTCTAATATACACATATAGACATATACAAAGGTTGTTTCTATAAAACATTTAAATGTTACATTAATTTCTATAATAAATTAAATATTAAATTACAAAAAATAAAAATTTTAATATTATAATATGACAACAACAAATTATATTAACATCAATTTTTGGTTTGCAGGAAAATCTGACAGTAATACAATTGCAGTACATATTTGAGAAACAGTGGAGAGAATCATATAAGCAAAGAATAAATTAACAGACAAAAATAAACTATCATGCAAATATTATTGAGTTTTGATTTTAGACTCGTAATTTCATTATGCGCATATAAAGAGAATCATTGACACGTTTTTCCGATATCTATATACATATGGTCATCTTTAAATCTTATCTCTATCTTATCTCAAGTGCTTTTTTACCCTTAAAATTTTAGAGAAGAAGTTATTAAGTTTTACTCAGGATTGTTAAAGTGAGATCTGAAAATAATATTACGTAATTTGACGTAATATCTTGACATTGATACTTCACATCTTTAGAAATTTATCTTTTTATATAAAATATTGTACTAGGTTTTTTTTAGTCTAGATCCCTTCCCTTAAACCCTCTTTGTTCTTACTTTTTCTTCACAGACAATTAATTTTTTCTCCACTTTAAGCTATATTTTTCTCTCTTAAATTTATGTATATATAGAGATATATATTTATTTTTCTCGCGCATCGCGCGGATGTACCCTCCACTGACCCGTCATTTTTGGCTCACTTTCACTTTTTCAATTATTTTTTCTAATTCTGTATCGCGTTGCATTTTGGCACTCAAGTCAGGTAGTACAACCCTTTTATTTACTGTCATTTTGATAAAAATTTATACATTCACACGGAGAGATTTTTCTCTTAAAATTTACCCTGAAATCATGGTGGTTGTGGGACAACATGTACCACCAAGAATTTTATGCGAGCTATTCTGATTAATATCTACCATAATAAAAAATATTAATATCTATTACATTAAAATATAAAATATGTTTGATTAATTTTACTAAAATATATCTAGAAAGTTTCAATAATTTTTCAAAATTTACCAATCTGCTTGGTAATTTTTATCACGTTGTTTGTAAAATGTCTTTTGTATATTTTGAAAATTCCTTGGTTGCCAAGTTGTCCCAAGTTTGTAGTGAATTTAAGGATAAAATATAATAAAAAATTCTCTGTGTTGTTTTTGATTTTAAAGAAGTTTAAATTTTTCCCGCTATACCGGGTGGAAAGTATCAATTTTCTTCCCTAATAAAGAGGAAAGTAAGCCCTGGTGTGAAATTGGCCACTCTCGCCCCTCTCTAAGCATGAAAGTCGACATTTCCGTAAAGGTGTGAAAAATATCGTGTGCACCTCAGGTCGAAAGCTTTATTTCAGACTCGTGTGATTGGCAAACTTCACTCTCGTCTGAAAAACGCTACTTTCTCCCCTTGGTGCACAATATACTATTCTTTCTTTTTAATAAACATTTGACATCATATATAGCAGATTTCAGTTGACATATGGTGCGCGGATTTGTAACAGGGAAAGGATTAAAGCCATTAACGTCGCTATTGGTGACGGCGCGATATGACATTCCGACGTATCCCGTGACCGCTGTACAAATCGCGTCGAAAAGCGGATGTCGAATGTCGCCATGCGTGTCGCGCGCGCGTTTATATAAAGCGAAGTGCCGCGCCGCGGCGTTCTCGAGTACACACAAACGCGTGTACTCGAGTAACGTAACAGAGATAACATCCCCGAAGGCATGTTCGCTTTATCCGCCACAGGATACGCATCGCTTTGTATGTCGCGCATCACCCCATCGTCGGCGAGTCGCGGATGCGGAACAATATGTACAATGGCAACATTGTTGAAAGTTAACCGCGCGATAGCAAATGAATCCCACTACGCGCATCCCGGGAATCCCTCCGAGAGGGTGAGTTAGACACAGAGATAGGCCGCTAAACAGAGGGATGAAGAGAGAACGAGATGACGGGATTGATTTAAATTTCGACCGCAAAAGTGGCTGGAGACGGGGACGAGCTGTGGGAGTGAAATAGCGCGATTTAATTGCGTTTGCGAACTATTTTCACCTCTCCCAATCAGTTATCCTCTTCGAACCCGAGCTCGAGAATTTTCGACGGTCGCGGTGTGATGGGCGGCTATTTTTCCTCCCTCGACGTCGAACGGCAATTTCAAATTGAAAATGGTAAATGTCACTTATGACATATGATATATATATATACCTATGTATAAAGCACTCAGAGTCGCTGCCGAAATTGAAGTTTGACCGACAAACAATAGAAATAGTAGCGTAGTAATTTTCCGAAAATCACATGATCACGAGTTTAATGCTACAGAATCGAGAAAGAAGGAAGCATTTAAGGCAACACTTCAACAATATTTTGCAATTCAGTCTTAGAAGCTTTTTGGAATTTTAGAGAACAGAATAACTATTGTCTTATTTAATGAATTGTAATAATAATATATAATAATATTCTGAATAGATTATTAAAAGGTTTATGAACAGCGACATTGCCGTACATTTTATGGTTATTCAAAGCTATAAATTATTAATAATGTTCAGTGTGCTTTTTAATAAGCATACTCTGTGCGTTCTATACTACATTTCATTTTTTTATAGTTTTTAGTATTTGTGGAACGCAGAATTTTTTTTATACAACAGGTGCATCGTATTTTTATTCGGAGCATTTTGACCGTTTTCGAATTTTTGTCATATTTTGCGAAGAAATATAACAAAAATATGTAACAAAATAAATTAATACAATAAAATATAAACACAAAATCGCCATTATAGAGATCGGGGAAGCGTGTACAATGAAACATACGGGAGCGTTAAAGCAGGATTTGATGTGTCACGGCATTGAGTTATGGTTGCGGGTAAAGAGGAAAAAACGCGGGGATACACGAGGGGGGGGGATATTTGAGAGATATCGTACGCCGCAGGATGTACGAGTCGCGGAGATAGCGCGGATCGATCGGCCACTTCATTAATGGATAAAGTGTTATGGCGCGGTAATCCCCTTGCCGTGTATCCGCAGTTGGAACGCGAGCCAAAACCTCCCGCGTGATAATTATGTAATATTGCGCGGTTGCGCGAGCTGTGCGCCCGCATTGCGCACGTAACGAGGCGGAGGTCGTAACACTTTGCAATTGCAGTTACACGGATCACTTTGGCATTACTGCAGATAGCCTCTCATTACAGACAACGCGGACTATCAGCTTTAAGAGCGTGCAGCGCGATTTCTTTAAGCTTCGCGCCGCAACTTAACCGTAGGAGAATATTACTATTTCGAGGGATTATATGATATTATTTTTAAATTTTAATAGATGATAAGTATTGCGCGCTTTGGGAAATTAAACATTTACAGCAGAATTTTTTCATTTTCACCTACATAGTGACAGTCACGAAAAGTCGTTGAAATAAAATAATTGTTATTCTACACGTAATGAGTGGATAAAATAATATTGTATGTAGTTTCAACAATTTCTCCCTGATTGTCACCCTGTAGGAAAGACACGATGCCAAACATTTTTTGAAAGATCAATACGCTTTAAGCTTTAAGCACAATACCACCGAGAAGTATAATATGTTATTGACGCTGCGCATTGTCGCTGCGTCAGAAACATTTTGAGAAGAAGGAACTCGCGCGTCGTCGCAGTTTAAGCTCTAAGAATAAATGAGCGCCCGTAAAATATGGAAGTTGCAGCAAATATGTGAGGACTTGATCGTCGCGGGACGGTAGTACATTTATCTGATAAAGAGGATCATCAGTCATCGCGCGGTTGCATAAATCATCGGAAAGTTGGCGGCGGCGCGGCGGAGCGATTTGTAATGTTGGGAGCGGGATATCCCGTATTTTACGCCCACGCTGTATTATTTCCAAAGGGAGAAGAAGGCATGGGGGGGATTCCGGGAAACGGTGCTTCATCACGTGAACGATAATTACTCGATATCAATCTAGAGAGCGACGCCGTTAAGTGCCTAGCGCTATCGAAAAGCCGTACGCGTATTATTGCCCAGCCGCGATTTTTTCGCGATAATAATAAATTTCCAGCTAGAGGTTATCGTGACTGCCATCCGTTTCCTGGAACATCATTTGCTTCAAACGGAACATTCGTTCCGAGCGACAACCTTCTTGCTTGTCCAATCCCATTTGAACAAGCGTTGTTCCAATCCCGCGGTAGCGCGATAAAAAGAGTTAAGAATATACAATACCAATCTTATACAATCCTGTGTGTGCATGTGATAAAATAAAGAGAATAACGCAAAAATACACATGGAAGGTAATTTTTAAGTCTCAAAGGATGCGCACACGCGTATTTTCTCTCGGAGTCTGTAATATTCCTCGGTGCAGAAAGAAAAAAGGTTACATAAGGAAACGTCAAAGGAAACTATTTTTCTAAATACAAACAATAAAAATTATTAAATTCTCTTATGTTCCACACGACTCCATAGTTTACAAGACAAATATTATTTTTGTGTTCTAACAGACGTTGAATTATCAGCAGAATACAGTAAGTGTTTAGTTTCCTAATAAAAAGCAAAAATAAATATGTTTTATAATCATTGTAAAATTTTACACAAAACTGCTATTTAAACAAATTACTATCTATTTGTTATATAATAGTCAGAAATATATAAATATTACATTAAAAATTAATTAAAAATATGCATTGTGGACAAAAATTATAAATTTAATTATTGAATGATTTTATTATCCTTCTTAATGGTGAAAAGATAGGGAGATAAATACTTTCATTAAAACTAACCAACTCGTAACAAATTACATATTACCGTGATCATTTATAACAACGCGATTCGCAATCGCGACCATTTCGATGTTATCGCCGAAGAAGACAGACGCGTTCCATCTTGCTTAGACCTCACTTTGGAGAAACTTCCGCGCTCTCAATCGTCGTAACGAGAAAATGATACTGTTCATCGTTTCCGGATGCACAGGACGGCGTGTTCTTCGAATTGCTCCCGTACGTACGTGCGTCGTAGTATGCACAACTATATCGATCTTGTATAAATGTATAGCATCTGTATTTGAGTTTCCGCCTGAAGCTACGGATACCGCAACGTGTACATCACTTAGCCTTACCTTAAAGAAGAGGAGGATGGCATGATAAGCGGTGTTCCACAGTGATAGCAATACACACTAAGCAATATGTTCCTCAAAGAAAATATCCCGGTAGAAAAAAGTGCAAAATGTGATGGAGTAAAAAATAAATAGCAGTGACAAAAAACAAGTTCGTTATTATAGCATCTTCATGCAATGCGACCTAGAATTTTTACATGAAAAATTAATGTGGTGTTGATGTTTCTTTTTTTTATTATCTAATGATTTTCTCCCTTTGCTCCTAAATTTTTTTTTTAATATGCCGCGTTAATCGTTTTATTAATTTTATTTTGACAATTGCAGGAGAGCTATATCTCGAATTAAAGGGATCAATGTGTCTCTAAATCGTTCTAGTTTAACCCCGCCACGCGCGAATTTCTGCCACTTCATCCGCAATTGATCGCCATACGCGAGAACGAAAAGAGAAAATAACGATGACGCACGAGTTCGCCCTCTCTTCTTCATTCTTCTCATTTCCCGTATGGCACGCCACGAAATATCGGGCCGAATCACGAGTAGTAACCATTCAAGAAGGTAAGCTTTATATACGATCAGACACGCGGTAGCAATTTATTCCCTTCTACCGTCGCCGTTCCCCACATCTTTTCGAATGGGACTTCTCTCCAAAAGCGAAAGCTCATTCAGGCAAAACAACAAATCGCGTACAGCGTAAATACGCGAAATGTATTAAATTCATCGTACGATATTTATACGAAGCGATAAAAGTAGTATCTTCTTTGAGGAAAGAGAAAAAAGTAATGTTAAAAAAATACAATAGAATTATATATAGTAATTTAATGAAAATTAAATAACGAGATTCATTTCCGTTTACGAGATATTCATTTCCGGGCCGTCACATTATCAATTCAAATAGAACGAAGTTTGATACTGATTCTTCATTCTCGGTAACACTAATTCACTTGAGACAAGATAAAAACGAAAATTTGGATAAGTATAACTATCATTTATGGATCTGTAGAAATACATATATGTATATGCATTTGAAAAGAGTCAATGACTTGCTCTTAAATATTGACTTTATATACGCATTTGTGAATTATGTATTAACATTTTACCATTAATATATTTCTTACCCTCTAAATCTGAATCAGTGAATAGTCAGAGAATAGTTAGAGAGTACTTTTAATATTTATACATATCAATTTATTATCATTATGAACAAGAAAAAATAGATATTAATATATTAATAAAATTAATTAAAATAATAATATATGCAATTATATATGTATTATTATATACATTATTATTTTGATTAATTTTATATTACAAACAATGTATAACAATATAAAATAAATAACTTTTTAAGATCATATAAAATAAATAAATTCAAGACTACATAAAATAAATAAATTTAAAAAAAAAGATGCCAACAGTACGCGGTGTTCCCAAACGGTCACCCATTTAAGTACTAACCACGCTCAACGTTGCTTGACTTAAGTGATCGGACGAGAACTTGTAGCGTACCAACGTGATTTGACCGTTGACGAAAGTGTCCTTCTTATAAAGAGGTGACATACTTCTTTATCAATATTTATATTACATTTATTATATATTTTTTAATATATATATATATATATATATATGCATCAATTTGTTATTAATATTAATAAATAGATATTAATTAATTTTATATAATAAAAAATGTATAATAACAATATAAAATAAATAAATTTATGACTACATAAAATTAATAAATTAAAAAAATGCCAATAGTGCACGATGTTTTCAAATGATCATCCATTTAAGTACTAATATTTAGCTTTAGTATTTTAAATTATTCTATAAAAGTATAAGCTATAAATGATTAATATAAAAAAAAAAACAAAAAATAAATTTACTCGCATCTGGTAAATCTAACAAATTATTAATTGCTAGTTATATCATACAGTACTACTATGAGAAAGAAGCCGTCGGGATTTCACAATAATCTCTTTTTGGTGTGTCCAGCTTATATGTTAAATCTAATGATTTATCTTTACTATATGAGTTAGGTTGGTTAGTAATATTTTGTTGAAATTTACGTTTAGGAACGTAATATATCTATTATAGAAACATTGTTTTTATCTTGTATATATGTATATTCATATCTATTATCCATTAGAAGTGCCTCGGGAGGTATAAATCTTGATTTTAAAGTATTTTCGATATATCTTTCATCCGCGTATGGAATTGAAAATATCAGACTATTTTTTGAAATTTGGGAAGCCTCAGCAAAATAGTTTCTGATAAGTTTGATTATAAAATTGTCGAATCTGGATATACTGAGCTAAATCGTATGTAGTTTTGTTCCTTAAAAATGTTTGGATATACATACATATGTTCAACGTGATTTGACCGTTGACGAATATCTCTTCCTTGCAAAGAAATGACACATTTCTTCACTAAATTTTCATTCTATAATCTATAAAAAATAATATCTATACACACACACACACACACACATATTGTATATCACGCACAAGCAGTCATGCGGCGTGCACGCGAATGATAGTGTAATGGAGAAAATGACCAGACGGTTCGTAACAGCTTGCCTAAATTCCATCTAAATTCAAAACAGAGCTGAAATTGCCACCAACAGACGGGCATGGGATCTGCGACGTTTGCGACGAGCAACGGTTCTAGCTGGCCACACACGTCGGGTCAAAGGCCAACAAGCAACGACGACCACCGCCACTGCCTTGCCGTTTTTTAAATGCCTCTCCTCTCTGTCGCGAGTAAGCTCAATAGGGCGCAATATGGTATCCGCATCACGTGGATGAGAAAAAGTAGAGTCGTATCTTTCTCTGTAGAAAAAAAAAGTGCTGACGTACCGGTTTCGCCTGCTTATACGTGACTGACGTTTAATTAAATTCGCAAACTCGTATACGAAAGCGGACCGGAGCGGGATGTTGAATGCACATAATACAGAGCGCACAAAGAACCTGTGTTAAATATTTCAGGCGCACATTTAACGGCGAGGCCGGTGTTTGGAACACACTGCCTTACCAAAAGTATCGAATAACCGATATTTGCAATACGAGATAATGCTATATTAGAATATATACAAGAGATGATACATAAATATCGGCTTCTTCACAAAATTGAGTTTCAAAGATGCAAATAGACTTTGAGACAAATATAGTAGTTTTCATATACTACGCGAGCGTTACTTCTGTAGTAACCTATGATAATTCCTTCGCGTAAACGAGATTTTTCTTCGGGTAAACAGGATTTTGTAACTTACGATAATTTATTCCGCGTAAACGAGTGATATATAGTAAAGTTACTACAGAATTAACGCGTAAACGTAGTATAATAGATCAATAGATTATGGAATGAAAATTTAGTAAAGAATTATATATGTCTTCTTTTTACAAATGACATTTCTCAACAGTCAAACTACGTTAAACATACAAAGTCCTCTACAAATATTATGATAACTTTATTATTATATTTATTATATTTATAAGAAATAATAAATTATTCTCGTTAAAAAAAAAATTCTCGTCCGATCATTTAAGTACATACGTCAAGCAACGTTGAGCGCGGTTAGTACTTATTTTTTTTTTAATTTATTTATTTTGTGCCTAAAAATTTTTCATTTTATATCGCAGTTATACATTATCTATTATAATGTATAAAATTAATTAAAATAATAGCATAATATAATACATATGATTGTATTATAATATAGATATTATTTTATAGTTAGTTAATTACATAAATATAATAATATATATTTATCAATATTAATAATAAATTAATATGTATATATTTAAAAAAATATATAATAAAATGTAATATAAAAATTGATGAAGAAGTATGTCACCTCTTTCTGAGAAAGACACTTTCGTCAACGGTCAAATCACGTTGGTACTCTACAAGTTCTCGTCCGATCACTTAAGTCAAGCAACGTTGAGCGTGGTTAGTACTTAAATGGGTGACCGTTTGGGAACACCGCGTACTGTTGGCATCTTTTTTTTTATTTATGTGGTCTTAAATTTACTTATTTTATATCGTTGTAGTACATTGTCTATTATATAAAATTAATTTAAATGATTATATGTGTATAATATATATACTGATAAAAAAAAAACTAAAACATTATAATCACCTACCTAATACTGTGTTGAACTTCCATGTGCTGCCAAATCACTCTTATCCTATCAGAGAGAGGTAGGTATGGACGATCCACAAGACCGTGTACCGTTGGCATTTAAAAAAAAAAAATATTTTAAATGGTCTTAAATTTATTTATTTCACATTGTTGTTAGAAATTGTCTATTCATGTAATATTTATATATTTTTTTCTTCAGCAAACAAATATTAATTGTTGTAAAAAAAATCCATGTTATTTTAAAGACCTAAAAATGAAAAAGAATCGGTTATTAAACTAATTAAATTAAGACGAGCTTATATAAAGAGTGTAACTTTTATTTGGAGAAAGAGTAGTTTCACATAGAGAAATTGTAATTTGTAAGATTTTATCCGATTTTCACACATCTTTCTCTCTTTATTCACGCATTATCTACTTATACCTAACGTAGCTGATTCAATGCACTATAATTTATTTTTGGAATACTTTTCGAGTATGTTACATTTGCGCACATGCGAGTTACATTCACTGTTGTCACTATAAACCTTGAAGAAATTATGATAAATTCGTTATGAATATGTATAATGGCTTACCTTAATCTGGTATGTAAAAAATCAAAAAGTTGAAACTCTAGTATAAATATACCATGATAAATATATATCGTATCCTAACTATCATATAATATATTCATCATCGATAAAATGAATATATCATACCAAAGATACATTTGTATAATATTTAAAAATCATTATCACGTGGCAATTATATACAGAATACTCGCTGCATCGATCACCGCAATTTGCGAACTACTCTTCTAAGGTGTTGACAAGTAGTCCTTATATTTTGCCGCGAAGAAATAGACAATAATTAAATTTGATAAGTAAAATAAAGTGGAAATCGAAAGTACAACAAAAAAAAAAAGATAGAACCATCAGTGTTCAGTAAATTAAGTTGCCTGTAGTAAAACCCATTAATATTGATTGGTCGAGTAATACGATACGATGTCGACCTACATAATAATGTAGGTCAGCATCGTATCGCATCACGCGCCAATGAATTTATTCCAAGAGCAGCTGTGATTAGAAAAAATACAAAGTTCCAAAATTATGATTAATTTTTTAAATGCAAAAACTGCGACATAAATATTTTTAAGTTTGTCAAGTTTAAATATCAAAATTATTGCCAGGTAAAAATTTTTGTTTATAATTTTATACCGAATAAGGATAATCGTCGTGATATATGTATAAATGAACATTATACCTATATACCATTATATTTATGCGATCCAACTAAATAATGACACATCTGTGTGTGAGATAAAGCTTCAAAAATTAATATAGATTAATTTGCTAACAGTGTCAATAGTGATAAATAGACATCGGATTTTTTATATGCAATAGATTGCTGGGAAAGAGCAACAAACTAAATTTAAGTTACTTCTAACATATTTATACTACAACATATATTACAGTCACTGAAATATATACACACTTGAACGCGCAATGCCTATACTACAACTAAGTGGAAAACGAGAGAAGGATAGACTCTTATTTAACGCTTCAAGGGGGCCACCTGTCTTTTTCTAACTTTGTACGCATGCTAGTGTACGATAAATGGCCTCTCTGACAGCACCTATCCTTCTCTCGTGTTTCGACTGCCAGTGCGCGTTCTAGTATGTATATATTTCAATGGTTGCAGTATAAATATGTTAGATATTATAAATAACCTAAATATTAATTGCTCTTTTCCAATAATCTGCATAAAAAATCCGATGTCTAGCGATAAATTATTTGCCAGTGAAATTGACTAACATCTCCAATATACCCACAATTGTGTCGCAAAATATTTGCAAAATGATTATACCATTTCAGCAAACTAAAAATTTCTTTCTTTACTGTGCATATGTATATCTGTGATCACTTATAGAAATCTAACATACATTGTATTACTGCGGCGAGGCATAGAGTAACGTACCCAAATGTCTGCGCTATCCCCGATAGTAAAATAAATTCGAAACGCGAATTCGAAACAAAACCCAGCGGTCGGAGTTCAAATATAATATTCAATCAGACTTCATCGCAAAGTAGAGAGATTAAAACAATATTTGAAATAAATCTTAATGCTAATCTTTTATCTGTACAGTATGCTGTAGATGTTGGTTACTCACAAATTTATCCGAAGTAAAAGTTACAACACATTATGTCTGTTCTTATATCGAGATACATATATCTAAATAAGACTTATGATAATATTCGCCATTCAATATTTATCGATGAGTTCACTAATTATAAAAATTAACAACACATTAAAAGTTTACAATAATACAGCAGTACTCCACTGCGACAATCGAGTTGCGATACATACAATTCTTGGTTGTACTTTAATAAGATTCTGCTATTATTTCAAATATTGACATAATCGAAATAATTTGATTAAATATTTAAATTATGTTATAATTGTTAGCTTCAAAAAGCATCACAATACTTCTTAGTTATCATCGGCATCATCATCATCGTCGGATATATATTTTTTAGTAACTCTCTTTCTACGGCCGCCTCTTCCCTCACCCTTTCTTCCTTTTAGTTTAATTTTCATTCTTACACTAGAATCCGCGTCTGAACCATCTTCACCATCTGTGTAATAAAAAAAATAAATAAAAAAGAAGCATTAAAAAAAGAAAATTTCCATCTTATTTAAATTTTAACGTTTGCTAAATAATTACATGATAAGATAACAGAATATATTCATACCTTTATCATCTCCATCGGAATTATTACCTTCCTCTTCAAGACGCTGACGCGCATTTGTAAAGACGGATTGCAACACTATCGAGTCTTCGTGAATTAGAGATGCTTCTTCATTATAAATTTGAGCGTTTTTACAAAGTTGCATAAAATCTTTCTCAAGCTCGTCTAAATCAGCATACTGGGAAAAATAAAATTATTAGATTATAGCCGTACATTTATACAAAAAATGTAAAAAAATAATACAATAAACAAATACTTACTTTGCCCTCCTCGATCTTCTGCAATAGCTTATTAATAGTCAAAGGTTTTTTAATGATTTCATAATAGTCCGGTAATTCTCTTCTTGAAGGTAATTTCATAAAAGGTTCACTCAACAATCGGCCATCAGTACTATCGGTATAATTAACAACTAATGTAATTAGTTTCTTCATAGCCCGTTTCATTTTAGGATCGACCAGGGACCCGGCACCTCTTCGTTTCTTCGGCATAGGCTCATCGTCCTCCTCACCTTTCTTCTTTCGTTTCCGTGTCTTTTTCTTTTTCTTATCGTCTTCTTCCTCCTCTTCATACTCGGCACCATCATCGTCAATTGCCTTCAACCATTCTTTCTCGGTTAAACTGTCTGTATAATCAACTTCTTTACGTTGCCTTGAACCTCTTCCAAGGAATCTGTCTTCGTCCTCTTCGTAGGTCCATCTTTCCACTTCGTCGTCGTCCTTTACCAACCAATCGGGCAACTCAGCTTCCTCTAGCAGCCGCGATTTGCGATTTGGACCCAACTTGGCCTCCTCACGTCGCCGTTCCAAATCTAATTTCTGGAATATTTCGAATTCACCTTCTGTCCTAGCAATCATTTGATTTACAGTCTCGTCGTCGGGCACTTCGTTCTCTTCCTCATCGTCAGCATCGTCTTGATGTAAGATACTCTGAAGGAACTGCTGTCGCTCAGAGCCAGTAGATTTCTGATCGAACATACCAGCTTGAATAACTTTCTCGTCCATATTTAATTTATATCTTGCTGCTGCTAATATTCGCTCTTCGACGGAATTGACAGTCATTAATCGAAGTACGCGCACTTCATTCTTCTGTCCAATTCTATGTGCTCTGTCTTGAGCTTGCAGATCCTGCAAATACACATATCATGACCAAGTGCAATACTGCGATAATTTTTATGTTCTATATGTTAATATTTATGTACCTGATGAGGATTCCAGTCAGAGTCAAAGATGATAACTGTATCAGCAGCTTGAAGATTTAAACCAAGACCACCAGCACGTGTGGATAGTAAGAAAAGGAAATATTCTGAACCGGGATCGTTAAATTTCTTTAACAGATCTCCTCTATCTTCCGCTTTTGTTGTCCCGTCCAATCGTAAATACATAAATCCTCGCCAACTTAAATAATCTTCCATAATTGTCATTAATTGAGTCATTTGACAAAACAATAATACTCTATGATTCGTAGCCTTCAATTTAGGAAGAATACGATCCAAAAGCTCGAATTTTCCAGACGCGCGATATAAATCGGGCCTAATGACAAAGAAAAATTGAATAAATATTTGATATTTTATGTATAAAACGCTCGAAAATTGTTGAGGTACATACCCAGTAATAACACCAGAACCTTGCGTGCCTACATGTTCGCAGTATTTCTCTTCTATAGCTTGGAACATAAATGGATGATTGCATAGTTTTCTCAGTTGTACGATTGTATTCATAAGAGCTTTGGCACCACCTTTTCCTTGCTTTCCCTTTTCCGATCCATCGGTTAGTAGTACACCTTTACTTTGCATATGCCTGACAGAAAATTTTTGTTTATATATTATACTTACACAAATTAGTTTCACAAAGAAATTAAAAATAGACAATATTTACGTACTTATAAAGAACTTTTTGTAGGCCGGACATATCGCATTTGATAATGTATTCCACTTTGTCAGGTAGTTGCGATTCTACTTCTTTCTTCAAACGTCTCAATAGGAAAGGCCGCAATACTTTGTGCAAACGACGAATAATCAAAATAGTTTCTTCTTCATTTAGCTCCACCTATGCAAGATATCGATAATGTTAAATAGAGCTGCATTAAAATGTGCTTTATGCCAAATACTTGCCTTCTCGCCAGTAGTCGCGAAAGGAGCGTTAAACCACTGTTCAAATGTACTGCAGGATTTAAAGATTGAAGGCAACAAGAAATTCAGAAGAGCCCACAGTTCTGGCAATTTATTTTGCAATGGTGTACCGGTTAACAATAGTCGATGAGGAGCCAAATAATGTGTATTCAGCACTTGAGTAAGTTTGCAATGGTGATTTTTCATCCTGTGTCCTTCATCAATGATCATATATTTCCACTGCAGTTTGGCTAACACACCCTTGTCTTTTATGACATATTCGTAAGTCGTTAAAAGAACATTGAATTTTGTAGCTCGCATCTGAGATTGTATCGCTCTTCTGCCAGCTGGAGAACCTTTGTACGACACTACAACAACACTTGGTGCCCATTTTTCAAATTCAAGAACCCAATTTGATAATGTCCTAGAAGCACACATATTATAAAATTAGTATTTGAAGAAATGCAGTGTCTCGCTTTTAAAAGAAGGGAAAGGAACATACGATAATGGAACAATGATGAGAAATGGACCATTAACTTTCTTCTTTTCCATGAGATATGTTACTAGAGCAATGGTCTGAATTGTTTTACCGAGACCCATTTCGTCCGCCAAAATGCCATTCAGATTGTTGTTAAACAATGATACTAACCATTCCAGACCCTAAAACCATTAATTAAGCTCTTTCATTCATAGAGAAGTGACTTACTTAAAATATATTGTAATACAATTTAAAATATATTACATTACAAAACTAAAATTACTAAATTACTACACTAAAATAAATACACCACCTTAATTTGATATTCTTTCAATTGTCCATTCACCATGATGCTTGCTTGTTCAGTAACAACCTCATGAACTGTATGAGCAATACTATAGTATGTTTGTTCTTCTGTTTTATATTCGTCATCTTCCACTTTTGCTTTATGTATCGTTTTCTTTACCTTTTCTTCTTCAGAATCACCCATTGTTTTATCCTTGCCTAAAGTATTTTAAAAATTAAATCTGTATAAAGAATCTATACACAAATCCAAGAATTAAGTGCTTATTATCAGATTTATTCTCATTCTCACTTTCTCCGTTTTCCTCTTCATCATAGTCATCATCATCTTCACTATCCGATTCAATTGGCTCCCATCCAGGATGAGCTTCTAAAAATGCTGACAATTGACTCATTAATGGTGCTTCGTCGCCAGTTAATGTGCGACCAGTGGATGTTTCTATTACACCAACACGAGTATCATCATTGGATCCACCATCTTCAGCATTCTCACTATCTTGTAATTTCTTCTTTTTCTGTATAATCATAAGACTCTATCAATATTATAGATAATTCCTTATGAGAGAATAGTCAATTTTTAACTTTACATTACCTTCTTACGCTTTTGTTCTTCGACTTGCTTTCTCTTTTGTTCTATTTTGTGTTGTTTGACCATTTCCGTAAGATTACTGATATACTCATCGGTTTGGGATAGCAAGAATGCTAAACGCTTATCCTTCTTTTGATCGATTAATTTTCTGTATCCTTCTTCATCTTCCGCCATAAGACGACGCATACGCTCTTTCTCAATGCGTTCTTGCTCTTTCTTCTGTTCACGTTCAGCATTTGCGTGATAGTTAAGCACAGCTTTATTAAGTCTAGCCAATTTCGCGACATTATTGCGATGAAATTCTTTGAAGTCTTTGCCATGTTGTAGTACGGAACTAAGAAATTCCTGCAAACATAAATGTCATGCTTGTATTCGTTTATTCACAGCGATAACCTTGCTGATATCATGTGTCAATAATCAAATTTTACAATTTAAGTATATCAGATAAACTTACTTGATGTTTCTGTCTTCGTTTACGTTCTGCTTCCAATTTCTGTTGCTTTTCTAATTTTTCAGTAGCTCTAGCTTCGCGCAATCCTTGCCGTTTCGTACGTTTATAAGCTTTCACATTTACGGCAGTTTCTAAAGTGGTATCTTTCCGAGTACATGCTATAATCTGTAAAAAAGATTAGAAGAGTTAAAAAGAATAAATAAGAATTCCTTAATTGTTATGTAATATGATATGTGCGTAAATTAATTACAGTACCTCTGATCTTAATTGTCTCTGAAAGTTTAATACTCTTAGCATGCGCAATTCGATCTGCGCTTGTATACGAAGATCTTCTGGCATGTTTGTTGGTAGATTGCTAAGTTGCTCCATTCTAAGCGATATACGGGCTGCAACTCTGTTAGCAAGCATTAAATTTTTTACATTTTAGTAACGAAAATACAACTTTTATCACGCATTATACCGTGTTTCTCCAAAAATCTGTCTCTACCTATTTTCTCGTTCTTGCAATATTAACAACGGATCTAATCCAACGGGTTTTGCTACGCTTGTCACTCTGTTTGCCTTAGTGCCAGACTGAGGTTGCTGTTGTTGTTGCTGCGGCGTTTGACAGCCCGGTCTAGGAGCACCTGTGGGACCAATAACATTCGGACCTGGTATTTGTGGCCCAGCTGTTGAAACAGGGCCCTGAGACGGATCTATGGGGCGTTGACTCATCCCCGGAGGAGGAGGCGCGCCACCTAATCAAATCCGTCTTAAATCAGGATCATTCTACCCTACTTTTGTAAATACCACATTCATACATTCATCTCGTTTCACTCATTATATAATCTATAAATATCATAATCTATCAGTAAACATAATTTCTGTAATTACACGATCTAATATATAAAGTTACGGAACGGAAATTAAAGTTAATGCGGTAAGTATTTAACGCAATGCATATATATAAAAAGATAAAAGCATTTGAAATAAAATATTGTATAGCAGCAGCATATACAAATTTCTAATATGTTATGCAAATAAAACGTATGTACAAGAAATAATTCATATTAATATTTGTTTACACTTATATTATTAAAGCAATAAAAATAAAAGCAAATAGATGTAAAGTAGAAACAAATAAATGGACTAGAAAAGCTATACTTGAAATAAGCAAAACAAATCATGTGGCAGAAAGCGATACAAAAGATAGAGTAGTCACCCAGAGCGTATAAGCTTACATATTAACAAGAACTCACCTTGAGCAGCTAGCGCAACTTGTTGAGGTACAGGTTGATTTCTTGCTAGTAATCTGTACGCCATTATCTGAGCTCTGTAAAAATGTGAGAAAAAATTGAAAACATAAAATTAGAAGATTGTAGAGAAAATATTTTTACATTAATTTTATTACTTTAAATTAAAAGGTGTTAAAAACATATCTACATAAAATAACTTAATCTAATTATTGTTTCAAAAAATTCAAATAATGATTTAATAATATTCATATAAAGCATTTTTTCACACTTTTTCATTTGCATTTGATTTATATTAATTTTCATATCTTTTTAAACTTAATCTTTTTGCATAATTTTCACGTCTTTATGTCAGATAATTTATATGACATGATATACAATCATTAAGTAATAATACAATAATTCACATACCGTAATTGTTGCAATTGTTGTGTATTGAAGGCTTGCTTGTCTCCCATGCCACTGCCTTGACGAGCTCTTAAGGCTAACAATTGAGAATATCGCGGATCTTCTTGCAACCCCTTTTCTTCCATGGAATCAATTGCCTTTTGAAGCGCATTCAAATTCTCTTGTCCTGATCCTGGTGGTCCAGTAGGTCCGGTAGGTCCAGTTTGACTCATTTGATTCACTGGAGCACCCGATCCTAATGGTGCTGTGCTACCGGGAATTTGGCCTTGATTTTGACTCCCAGGACCTATTTGAGTGGTAGGAGGTTGAACATTCGGTCCATTAGGTCCCATTTGCCCACTTGCGTTCGTATGACTAATTTGATTACTTGGACCACATGGTCCCATTTGACTATTCGGCCCACCAGGTCCCATTTGATTGCTCGGAGCATTCGGACCCATTTGAACACCTGGGCCTCCTTGCATCATCTGTCCTGGACCACTAGATGGAATTTGTCCCCCTGGTCCCATCTGACCAGCGGGACCACTGCCTGGCCCCATCTGTCCACCAGGTCCGCTTCCAGGTCCCATTTGGCCTCCGGGTCCACTACCACCATGTCCCATCTGTCCACTGCCTGGTCCCATCTGTCCAGGTACGCCTCCAGGCACCATTTGACCGCCCGGACCACTGCCGGCATTCATTTGTACTCCAGGACCGTTCCCTGGGCCCATTTGTCCTCCAGAGCCACCTCCAGGACCTACTGCACTCATTTGTCCTCCGGGACCGCTGCTAGAAGTCATTTGTCCACCAGGCCCGCTGGCTACACCTATTCCGGTGGGTCCATTAGGCCCTATAGAAACAGGTCCACTACTTGTTGTCATTGGTACGTTTCCTGGGCCACTTCCAGGACCCATTTGTCCAAGACTGTTGGGTCCTAATTGGCTTACGGAACCGCTTCCCGGTCCCATTTGTCCGCCTGGACCGGCAGGTCCCATTTGACTGCCTGGAGCATTTGGTCCCATTTGGTTACCCGCCCCTGCAGGTCCCATCTGATTACCAGGTCCGCCAGGGCCCATTTGTCCGCCCGGTGCATTCATACTCATTTGTCCAGGTGGACCACCCATGCCCATCTGTGTAGGTCCATTTGGACCCATCTGTGATGGCCCATTATGACCCATTTGCCCAGGTCCATTCGGTCCAATTTGTCCTGTTGGTCCAACGGGACCCATCGGCCCACTAGGCCCCATTTGCGTTTGACTGTTCGCCATCATCTGATTTGGGCCACTCGGACCCATTTGATTCGGACCTCCTGGACCCATATTATGCACTGTGGGACCACTTGCGGGTATTTGACCGGGAGCGCCAGGACCCATATGACTTCCCGGACCACTTGCATTCATATGTGTAGATACTGGCGGACCACTTGCATTCATATGACTTGGAATCGGCGGGCCGCTGTTCATATGACCACCTGATCCAGGAGGTCCACTAGTGTTCATGTGACCTGGTCCAGGAGGACCACTCGCGTTCATATGTCCTGATCCAGGTGGTCCGCTGGCGTTCATGTGTCCTGATACTGGAGGTCCTGTGTTACCCATATGTCCTGGACCGGGAGGACCACCAGCAGTTATGTGGCCTGGTCCTGGTGGACCGCTTGCGTTCATGTGACTTGGAGGTCCACCCATATGCCCGGGGCCAGGTCCACCAGGCACCATTTGAGAATTTTGAGGACCTCCGGTACCCATCTGAGATCCTGGAACAGGCCCGCTAGTTGGACCCATTTGCCCTGGGCCACCCTGGCCCATATGAGGTCCACCAGGAGGACCTCCACCTTGCACCATATGAGACGGAGCCATTTGTCCGGGACCTCCTGGACCCATTTGACCGGGTACTCCGGGACCCATTTGTCCCGGGCCTCCTGGTCCCATCTGTCCAGGCCCTCCAGGGCCCATTTGGCCAGGTCCTCCCGGACCCATTTGTCCTGGGCCTCCCGGTCCCATCTGTCCGGGTACGTTAGAACCCATCTGATTAGGACCACTTTGCATCATGTGAGATCCACTTTGTGGTCCATTCGGACCCATTTGTCCGGGTACCATTGGTCCTCCGGGACCTTGGGAGGTAGGTACCTGTCCGACTGGGCCGCCTGGACCTTGATTCTGTAAAAAACAAAATCTTACATAAATTATGTGATACTTACAATTTATAATCAACAATACTTTCGGAAACTAAATGTAAATTTTAAATAATTTATTTAATACAATTTTCTCTTTAATGCGATATATTGTTTTACTTATATACAGTATATTGTTTACACTTATAAGTATATGTGGTGGCAAAATATTTCTAAGAAAATAAAAAAAATGAAAGAGCTAAATATAGATTGCGTGTGATAGTAGTAATACTCCCAATGTTTGCAAAATTTACAAAGATAAGGCTTACACAAAGCAAGTTTTTACCCGCAAAAATTGACGTTGCATTGTTCATCATGCGCGTTATATGCCGCGATAATTAACATATTCGCAATATAGTCAGCATTTCAATCAACGGTGCTAATGGCGGTTAATGCGCTGATAAGAGTCGCAAGTGGACGCGACAAGGTCAAGTATAAGAGAAATGCAAGTAGTCATTTAAGACCTGACATGTTCATACGTGGCGCACGTAAATAAAAATATATCTATATATTTAAACTACTTATACTGACCCATACAAATTAAACTCCCACGCTTCGCTCACGTCATCGAAAAATCTCACATGTATATACAGATATATAGACACTATAATATGTATGCTATTAGATCTTTATAAGTGTCACATACATTAGCTGTCCGTTATACGTCCACCGTTATCAGAAATTGTGTACTTTACGTATTAATTTTTTCAAAACTAAACGATCAAAGGTCTTGTATTTTTGTAAGAATATTCTTATAAGTCTCTTTTATCGTCTTCTTGTTTTTCATTAAAACCGTAAAAATAGTTTAATTGCTACAATTAGCAATAATTAATAACTCATAAACTATTGCAAAAATTGCAAAATGATACATGACTTTTCGACTCAGTTTGCTCTGCTCTATCTGGATACGAGCAAAGTACCAAACATTCAGGGACATATATGTTTTATTTAAAACAACACATATCGTTCATAAAAGATCAATAAAAAAGTTTGTAATAATTTATAAAAACTATTAATATGTTATACATTTGAAAAGTAATAAACCAGAATTCAGATCCAGTAGAATTAATAAATAGAAATTCTTTTATGGTTCAATTATGTCTATTATTATTTTCTGTATTTGTGTATGATTGGAAAGATTATTATCGATCGCCAGGCACAAAGTATTCTTTTTAACGTAACTTTGCTGATTAAAATCAAGAGACACGGTAGTGTTTCGTGCCAAGTACACGCGCAGTGCGAAACCGCCCCGTACATCGTTATTCATTATTTACAAGATGCATGCGATGAAACATTATCAAATACCAGGCAATTTCTGTACGTACATCCCACAAGTTGTCAGACAAATTGTAATTAATGAATTATCTATTTAGAAAACACTCGATATCATTACCTCATCTACTATTTTTGCAGAATGTAAAGATAAAAGACACATGTGACAAAAGACAAGATTATTTTCAGGTGATTTGTGATGCTTTCCAAGTATTTAAACATATTGAAATAAAAAGCGATTGGAATTTAGTGACGCAGTATGAAAAAGTCAAAGCTATTTTAATAGACAATTTAGACAATTCAGGAAAAATTTCCTATACATAAATCATAAAATTTTTATGTTTAAATTGAGTAAGTTAATACATGTGTATATATATGTATATTGTGTATATACATGTGTATATATAGTGTGTATATATATATATGTATATAAATTGAGTAAGTTAATACATGTGTATATATATGTATATGTATGTAGATATATATAAAGCATAATTAAACAAGAAATTAATACTCAATATCTTTTTATTCAGTACACAATTCTTTTTCATTATATAATATTTATCAAAATTATTGGCAATAAAATAGCATCCTATTCCAATTTTCTACCAAAACTTTTACACACGCACTTACATAGATTGTCGATTTAATTGATGGAACGAACTTCATACGTTCTTTCTAGTAAATTTGCATCGATTGCATTAGCTGTGAATAAAAAACTTGAGACTGAAATAGTTTACAATCTCGTTTTAAAGTACTTACTTATTATTCACAACCAGAAGAGATCATGGAGCGTGTCTCAATGAAAAATCGATTCAGAGCTCAAGCATAAAAGATGAAATATTATTTTGCTCTTCCGTTAACCATTTCCGCTCTTTCTTTCCTTCTGTTTTTGCAGATTTTTGCGATAAAAATAAAAATGTCTATACTTTTAAAATTTTTTAGAATATGATTGTTCAGATATCTAACTTAACTGATAATGTCTACATTTCTAGAATAATTTAGATTATTTACTGTTTAGAATAATTTAGAATATTAACTTTAGAATATTAACTATTAGATTGTAGAATGTAACTATTATATGTGTGAAACGAAGTGTACAATATCGTCGACCACGAGGCATTGAAAATCGCCATTTTGACGCGATAAGTACAATGTAAAACAAATCAGGGTACTGAACAAGTAAAAGTCATGCATGGGATAGATAACGCTAATTGTAAGAGTGCACGCGAGACTAGCTCATAAGAGCATACTTTGCAGTTTGAGAGTAGCAACGGACCTGACCAAGCCTAATACTATGTTGTAAGTGCATTAGGAAATAACATGCGTGTGCTACTGAACACAGTGTGTTACTGAATAGTAAGTATTATTTATATTTTATTCCAATTTTCCGATGCTCAGATCAATCTGACATTCAGATTGATAAACAGCATTGTACACACATCGTGACTATCTGATAATAAGTAATTACGTAATCAATACGTTGTAGCCATATGTGATTCGAATAGAAACGTTTAATGTAATCGTATTAATTAAGTAAATAAAACTTTCGTCTAAAATTAATAAGTTATAACTGCATAAAAATAATGTTACTTACTACGTAATATTAAAAATGTGATATTAATACGCATAATTTCGTAAGGTATTACGATTTGTATAAAAAAGTCAATATGTATACAAATAAATATAAGATCTAGAAAAAAAAATATTATCAGGCATGTTATCTCTCTTTTCATTATACACATTATCTAACAAACGTCAAAGTTTCCAAAACAAACTTTTTATAGACCCTCAGCTCATAGCAATGAAAAAAATGCGCGTGTTTTCTCAAATGTTGAGATTTATTTACCCGCGTTACCTGCGTCAGATATCACTAATTGCAGAGATAAGAGCAGTTAACCACCGCATCCTCATTTATAGCGGTTAGTCGACGGTGAATTGATAAGTCGTACCGGCACGATTCTCAACGACGGCTATCATCATGTCGAGTGATCTGGACATTGCGAAGTGCTTCGAGTTCGCGAAAGAACTCACGTTGCGAGCTGGTAAGGTGAGTCACAGCTAATGTATAAAGATAAGCGGAAGGATTGCACAATTCTGGAGATAAAATTGAATGACGAAGTTGCAGCTGTGAGTATATATTTATAATATATTTTTCATAAGTTAAAGAGTAATTTAAGATTAATTCAAGATTTTTAGATGTTGCCGTTACGGATGTGCCGTGCAAGAATCATTTTAAATTAATTCAGATTTAGATTAAGGTTTAAACTAAAAACCTTACATTAGGGGTATTCAAATAAGTTAAAGTTTAACGGTTTGACAGGTTATGTCGGGTTAAAGTCGGGTAAAAAGTTAATTTTTAAACTTTTAACCCAAAGATTAATGTGATAGGTTAATGAGTCACTTATATGTATTTTGCATAACCTTAAAGAGTAGCGCGCCCAAAGTTAATTAATTAACTTTTTACTCGACTTTAACCCGACATAACCTGTCAAACCGTTAAACTTTTACTTATTTGAATACCCCTATTTAAAATAAAAACCTTAATCTAAATCTGAATTAATCCAAAATAATTCTTACACGGCACATCTATAACACACGCAACATCTAAAAATCTTGAATTAATCTTAAATTATTCTTGAACTTATGTAAAATATATTATTGATGATATATCTTTCAAAATCCTTAAAGCAGAATAAATTTAATTTCTTATATAAATCTCCTAAAAATGATTTTAAAAAATCAATGTACAAGTTAAAGTCTCACTCTTCCTAAATTCTTAGCAAGATATATATTTATATTAATCATTAATAATCATAACCTTTTTATATATAACTTTTCTTCCTTTTTTTGTATGATATATATATGTAATTATGTATTCATTTATTTCATATTATTTATGTGCATAGACTCTCAAGTGTAGTTTCGAGGACGAAAAAATTGTACATAACAAAGGATATATGGATTTCGTAACAGAGCATGATCACAAAATTGAGAAAATACTTATTGATGGCCTATCCAAAGAGTTTCCTGATCATAAGTAAGTTGTAATCGCATAAAAACGGACTACCTGGAAATCAGTAGATAACCAGACTTCAATTTAACTTAATAATTAATCCTATGATATTAAATAATCCTAAGATCATATTATATTCTATTAACCCTCCGTATATAGTCACACCTATTTTTTCAAACAAAAAAGTCACTCTGGGTCATTTTGACCCGAGACGAACTTTGACCGTTCGCCATTTGATCGTGTTGAAAAAATTCTCGAATGCACTTGCGATATTGCGAAATTGATTGCTATAAAAAAAGAAGGGCCTTAGGAATTTTTAATATATAAAAAAAATTCGCGAAAAATTTGTTTAAAAAAAAATTTTTTTTTTTTTTAACATATCTTACGTTTCAGGATTATCGCAGAAGAAACAATTGGGACGAGGGAAATGCCAGGACTGACTAATACACCGACATGGTTCATCGATCCAATCGACGGAACCCACAATTTCATTCATTTGTTTCCTCATTTCTGTATATCCGTAGGTTTGACGGTTCGCAAAGAGCT